CCACTCATTATTTAAAAGTAAATAATTTTACCGAATTTTCAAGAATATAACCGATTTTTTACCCAGACCAATTTTGGAGAGAGGGGCTTCAGTGGACGAAGGGTTCCTCTTAAATACATACATATGTACACATGTATCTACCTATGCATGTATGTGTTTGTACAAAAATTTTACTCAACTCTTCTGGCTATTTGCTTTTGTTATTCTTAATAATAAATGGAAGTGTTTCCTTACTTTCAATTACACATATCGTTTACGTTTCTGAAACTTGTAGATAAGCAAGTACTCAATCTAAATATTAGTGATTTTTATCTTTCCTTGACTATAAGAGGCCTTGACCTGATAGCAGACATTTCATATACCAATTTCCTTTTCTCTTTTGTGTGAGTTCCTGTTTTGGATTTTTCTTTCGCAAGAAATATGGCAGACACAAAAGTAAGTATCTGTTTATTATTATATAAATAATATGCCAGACAGTGCCCGTACTTCGAAAAAATGTATAGTGATAGATTTTACATACTAAAAATGGTAGAAGTTGGTAAATTTTTTAAGAGAAGCATTAATAGCTAGTTTCTACGCGTATAGCATAAATCAAGGCAAATTCATGGAAGGCGGTGTTACCAGGGCAGCTGGATTTTCGCCTCGGTGGTCCTTAATGGCAAAACCTATACATTAAGCTGGGCCGGAATCACGGCATCCGTGATCGAGTGAAACTCGATTCGAATCGAATGAAATAAAATGGCAACTGTTTTCTCTTCAATACAATTTTAACTAAAAAAGGGAGCTTAATAGGAGGCTTAACCAAGTTTTCTCCACTACAAAACTTATTTATTAAAATTAGATTTGAAGTGCTTGAAATTTTCAACCGATTAGTTACATAACAGCTCATAGAGTTGCAATTACACTTTTTAATTGGTTATGGTCAGAGTTAACTTTTCATTTTTATTCTAGGTGTGTTCGATAACAAAATATCTTTACACCACGTTCATTTGAATCTCTTTTCTCACTTTCCGGACAATATTAGTAGATTTTTAGCCTTTGATGGTAAAAATGGTAGAAAATAAAATCTAGCTAAAAAGTGGTAAGATCAATAAAGTGATAAAGTCCGTGCACTGATGCGAGTGCCCGACACCACCCACTTTATGTTCCCTTTGTTGGTTATCGGACTGTGGTGAGA